TATTCATCTGTGACGTGTTCGACATTTTCTACACAGTGTTTGGTTTAATATCCTGAACTTGACTCAGTTTTGGGTTTTTTGTTTTTGCTGTGATATAATCATATAAAGTCCTGCGTCTATGAAAACAGGCCAATCATACAAATGACAGCATTACAAATGTCTTCCGTGCAGCACAGCACTGATAGAACGCCATAAATCATGGTTTTAAAAATGAATTTCTTTGATCATTCACAAAAAATTTTAAAAACCTGCAACTGACATTTTTTCCAATTGCATGTAGGTTCTATCAAAACACAGTGACTTTGCATGGTGCAGATATTTTAATGCTTTTTTAATTTGCTTCCATATTTGTCTCTTATCTCGTCTGTGGAAGCAAAGCCTGCAGTTTAGTGCAGGTCAGGCATGTCCTTTAAACTTGGTTCCCATCAGAGTGGCTTATACAACAGACACATGAAGCAGAAAGGCAGAAAAATGTTTTGGAAACCACGCGGATTAGTCCTGCGTTAGGAAACACCAGTTGAACACAGATCCCTGTTGTAAAACGGGACACACACACAAACGCTGCTGCTGCTGCAAATCTGAGGTCACAGGCCACCTCCACACGCTGCACATGGTCCTGCCAGTCTTATTGACAGAGCTGTCACAGCTGACAACACCCCGCGGTGGAACCCCCACCCCACCCCTCCACGGCTCTGCACCACTGTTTTTTTAAATCAGGAAAGTTGTAAAGCTTCATCCTCTCATTCCCAAAATAAACTAAATCTAATGAACCTTCACCAGTTTCATTGCTGAGCTGGTGAAAAAGTCCATCAGCAGTAACTTGACTCACAACAAATGTTCACCTTCATCTAATTCCAGCCACACAGCATGAAAACATCCAGCTGGAGAGTGTTGCTCAACAGAATCAAAGCATAATGTGTTCATAGCTGCTGCTGCCGCCACTGTAACGGTCATTAATTCATTAAGAATTGTAGGACTGGGCATCAGCACTGAAAGCTTTTGAGTGTCCCAGTTGATGTTGTATCAGACTGTACTTGACTTCAGCAGAGTTCTTTGAAATCAACACTAGAACGTGAGACCTCTGGGGTTTAAGGTGTTTGTTATAAATTACAGTCATATTTAGGTGCTGAAATCCAGCTATTACATCAGTTATTCCTAAACGATGCTCAGTTCTAAATACGAGGTCTGACACACACTTTTGTCCGTCTGATCTCATCACACATAGTTTCACACACATGTAGATCAGAACATAGTTTGCTGGTGGCTGTAATGTGTTTTTTCCTCCATGCATTGTGCTGGCCGACACAGAAGCGCCACACGACAGGAAACAACGAAGCTCAACGTAAACATCTACGCGACGGATCACATGACGGCGAATCACAGACGACCAGAAACGACAAGTGACTTCACTGAACTCCAGCAGGCAATTCAACTCAGACAGAAGCTTTTCATAGATGATGAGACACCGTTGTTGTCTCTCAAAATTTTAACACAAATTAATTCAAAATACACCGTATGACCCATGTGGATTTTCTGTAAGTCTGACCTGGTGTCGAGTTCCACCGTTTGGCACCATGAGCTTGTTTCTAATGAAGAACAAATCAACGCTACAGCTTACGATGGCATTTACAATGACGACAGCTTAATTTATGGTAATAGTGTGTCTCTCTCCTGTTTCAACACGAGCCCAAAGTTAGACCCATAAAGAACTGGTTCCTCCCAGTTTTGTGAGAAAGAACTTAATCGGCGTACACGTTACTCTGAACTCAACCCCGTCCAGCACCTTTGAAATTCACAATGACATGTTCGGCTATCCCACATGTCGATGGACTTGTCGTCATACGCTGTGCAGTGAGGTTTCCGATGGTCACAGCTCACTGTCACGACTGCACTCAAGCATCCGGACACAAAACACATCCAAAGGGTTCATCTTCTAGTTGACAGCGTAACAATCTGCCCAAAGACAACGAGCACGAATGGTTTTTATTGGACTCTTCTGCAGTAATTCAACAGAACTGAGTAACAAGATCACTAAAATGTCAAACTGCATCAAGTCTGAATGTGAGCATCATCTGTAGTGTCCTTCCTCATCTGAACATTCAAAATCAAATATGAAGACTGCGTTGAAAAAATGAACTGAGTCCAACAAAAACGAACACCTGTAATCACCGAAACACGAGCCAGAAAAACTCAAAGTTCGCCTGTGATTAGCCGAACTGCATAACGATGAATTTGAAATGATTTGCAAACACCAGAACTTACTTCAGAATCAGAAAAAGCTTCATTGCCAAGTGAGCACAAACAAAGGAATTTGCCTCGGTTGCACGAAACACACGAAGGGTGAGTACAACAACAAGACAGGGTTGGACATATGGGCTGTGTCTATCCGCACCATGGCTCCACGTCGCCACAACAATTACCAGAGGAACTGGAAAATCAGATTGTCAGATGGAAAATGAATAATCTGTGACCAACTCAGCCACCATCAAACCACAGCTGTAGTATTCAGGAGGTACAGAACGAGCCACAGCATAACGAATCGGAGTTGCAGTGGCCACAAACAGAGCGCTATTTGCACAACCTAGGTCTGAAAAACAGACGGGCAAGTGTTTTAGACTTGGCACAGGGGTTATCAATGAAAATCGGAGTTTCTGTGACAGCACAGATAGTGTGAAGGACAGTGCGTCGTGTCATCCTCTCTAGATGGCATGCTAGAAAAAAAAACAAAAAAACAGAAAACCTTGCTTGCTCTTCAGCTGAAAACTGCAGCTTTACAACAGAAAATGAAAAGAACCCCGGTGGATACTGGGAGCACTTTATTTGGTCAGAGGGGACCAAGATAAGTTTGTTTGGCTCAGATGAGGTCCAGCCGTGAACCTGGTCAGGACTACCACAGTGAATGCATAGTCCTGCCAGAGACACACAGAGGTGGGAGAGTGATAATAACCTGCTGCATGATCGCAAAAAGTATGAGACATGTACAGACGGCACCATGAATGTTTGTGAATATACCAACATACTGGCTGAAACAATGACCCCCAGTCTGTCAGCGCTTGGCAGAAGACGACTATTCTGGCACAACAACGATCCAAAACACACTGTCATAATCACAAGAGTTTGTTAAGGTGGAAAATGGGAAATGACGACCTGGTCAAGTAGTCGCCTGACTTGCTAAATGGTTGCACTTATACAGCTTTACAATGTGTTTCTCATTCACACATTCATACACCGATGGCTACAGAGCTGCCATGCAAGGAGCTGCCTGCCATCGGGAGCAACTTCAGGTTCAGTGTCTTGCCCAAGGACACTTGGACTGTGGAGGGGATCGAACCGCCAACCGTGTGATAGGAGGACAACCTGCTCGACCACCTGAGCCACAGCCGAATCCAAGAGAACACGTTTGTAGTATTTTAAAAAGAAGTGCAGATGAACACAACCCTGTCCAGCAAAGAACAGCTGAAAAAAAATGTATCTTAAGAAAGACAGAACATCTCCCCAGAAATGTGGGCAACGCTGGTGGCAACTGAGTCTGCCATTAAAAACAAAGGTGGAATTGAAACACGAAAACATCTGAATTTATAAAAGCTGTATTGACTGATGCTGCATCGAGTTCCCACTGAGGGGCCTGTTTACAGCTAAACTGTTCATCTTTGGCATTAGAAGTAATACAACTGCTGTGAGGTGATGCATTTTATAATCATCTGACATACAAGTGATATTACACATGGTGTGCACTCACTCGTGTTGTACAGGTCAAGTTTGGATGAGGACGCTGTGCGACTGTCAGGTGCAGGACTGTGTTTAGGTGGATTCCTATAGAACCACCGGGAGGAGCTTTCACTTCACAAGTTCGTGGCACACAATAGGTGGGACACACACGGGAAAATGGCAAATAAACAGTTGGACACTGCATGCGTATTGTCATTTTTCTAAACTGTTCTCCTGTAAAATGGCTTTGTTCAATGTTTTCCAGACACTCCTAAAGTGCAGCAAGGCCTGGTTAGCACGCCTATTCGAAAGGCTACGTTTTAGCAATAAAGGCAACCTACTATTTACGTTTGCTTGCTAAAGTTAGCCGCGTAGATGAAATGAGACTGAGTGGTAGCATTCATAACATTACGTTTACCACCAAAACGAACAAGGAGTGAGGCGAGTATGCTGAGAACATCTGTCGAAAAATGCACAGAAGCTATCGAGGATTAACGATATGCTATATGCCCAAATATGCGCCTCGATGCAGCCATTAATTTTCTCAGCTAGCTTAGTTGCCGCTAGCTTATAGTAACATTTACCAGACTCGCCAAATCACACATAAGGAATTTACATCAACGTTTTAGTGTCAGCACTATCAACCGTGAGCTCATTATTGAGAGTGTGCAGGCCATTTTGGACTGTGAATTTGGCCTCAGCAAAACAATGGGTAGCAGCGGAGTGGACAGCTAGCAGACTGACCTGACAAACACATCAAACAAAGTCAGCCTGCTTGCTAGCTCAACTTGCTAACTTAGCTAGCTAACTTCCAAATCCGTGCAAGCCGCAATATAACAACATCGACATCCTTCAAAATCGCCCCCGTCCCCCGTGTTCAACAGTGCTCAAGTATTTCAACCCACGACTGTAATGTCACACGCAGAACTGCCCACGGCAAAAAGATTTTCAGTCGATTTAAGAGCTCTGATGAGTGTTTGACAGACAGGCCCAAAACTGACTGCCAGTTTTGGAAGAGAAAATGGCATTTGCATTCATATCAAATCGACCGTCTGAGACGAAATCGTAACTGTCACGGACTGCAAAATATGCAGTTAAAATGTCATGACTTCCACCGCGTTATGGTCGTAAAGTCTGGATGGAAAGGCGAGCTAAACAAGAAAACATACAAAGTTACATTTGGCTAGCCCCCAAGCTAACATGCTTCCATCAGGCTTCAGTGGGCAGCGATGCTAACATCAAGCAGCTAGTTCAGCATCGTCTCGTGAAAATAAAATGACTTGTTTACTTACTTTCATTTAAAACCTCCACCAGCTCGGCGCAGTTTTCACACATTGTTTATGAAGAGGAAAACTGAGTGCACCTACTCAAACCATTGCACTGGAAACTGTTGTTGGCTGGCAGTTGGTTGTTTTGGGGGTAAAAAAAGGCCCAGTGGAGGGAGTGATTGGTGAAGGTTATTCCACTAAATGAAACCAGGGGAAACAACAAGGTGTAGAACGTGATTTGCATCCAAGCGAAGTTGATGTGCATCAAAAGTAAAGAGGCACTGGAAGGTAGAAATCGAGTCAGTCTCCAATCTGAGCGTTACTTGAGAGAGTAGACACAGCAGCCATGTTGAAAAAGGAGGGGGGGCGACACAGCATGTCGCTCGTTCGGTACTTTTCGTCATGTCTCCTTCGTCTGTTCGGTTTTCTTCGGTAATCTCGCGATATCTTTCAAATGAAGTAACGTTTGCAACCTTTTCTCATGTCAAGGGCAAACGCAGTGATGTTGCTGCACAAACTATTCAGAAACTAACTTTGTTTTTTTTTTTATCGAAAAGATTATAATTCATACATATGTATATTTATTCATATTTTATCAAAACATTTGCCTTGCATGCTATGTAATTTTTAAAGTTTAAATGTAATTGTATGTAAATAAAATAAACATCCAGAAATATAACTATAACTGAAACCAAACCTCGAGTGAAGTTTTTGTTGCTCATTTAATGTCACATCAGGCCACCAGCACCTACATTAACGGAGAACATTACATTGGTGCCAGTTTCTGTAACTGTTAGATTTTTTTTATGATCCCACTTTACAGGTGCAGCTCAAACCATGAAAATATGGTGTAAGAGTTCTTTTTTTTTCATAAATTAATTGATATTCCACATTTAATTACATGTTAAGTAACAAATGTAAGCATTTTTTTTTGTCTCTTAAGCTTGATGACTGGGGCTTATATGAAATCCTGTATCTCAAATTATTAGAATATTTCCTAAGATAAATCATTAAAAAAAAGGATTTACAACATCAAAATGTCCAACTTATGAAAAGGTTGCTCATTTATACACTTGACATTTGGTTAGGGCCACAAACTACTGCATCAGTGCAGCGTGGAATGGAGGTGACCAGCCTGTGGCGCTGCTGAGGTGTTGTCTCTGGTTCAGGAGAGCTTGATATTGGGATTGGGACAGTTGGAGCTCCTTTAATGAAGACATCTGTGCTTGGAGATTCTTGGTGCTTTGACACCAGTCTGACTTCCTGTGAAGCTCTCCCAAGATCTTGATTCGACTTTTCTTGACAGTTGTCTGAAGGCTGCAGTCATCCCTGTTGCTTGTGTACTGTTTTTTTTTTTTTAACCATCCTTTTCCCTTCCAGTCAATTTATCAATAATTTTCTTTGGTTCAAACACCCTACCAGCCTTTTCATCAATGACCTTCTGTGTCTACTTGTGAAGGATGTTGATGACCATCCTCTTGACGACTTTCAAGTCAGCAGTCCTTCCCATGACTGCGGTTATGTGTAACAGTATTTATACTGTTTGAATAGCAATTTACGTAAACTCAAAGAAAGAAAGAAAGAAAGAAAGAAAGAACTGACCAACGTAGGACCTCTTCTTATTTTCAATCAGCTTTCTTTTTCCCAGTTCAGAGTCTCATTTTGTATTTTAAATGTCATTTACAGTCACTGTAAGAAGTTAACTGTGTGCCTCCTGACAAATCAGAAACACTGCGAGCTCATCATCAGTCATCCATCCATCATCTATACACTGTTTAATCCTCACTAGGGTCGTGGAGGGCTGGAGTCTATCCCAGCTGACTCAGGGTGAAGGCAGGTTCACCTGGACAGGTCACCAGTCTATCACAGGGCTACACTTAGAGACAGACAACCAAGCACACTCACATTCACACCTACGGACAATTTACAATCACCAATTAACCTCAGCATGTTTCTGGACTGTGTGGGAGGAAGCCGGAGAACCCGGAGAGAACCCACCGGGACGTGAACCGGCAACCTTCTAGCTGTGAGGAAACAGCTCTAACGACCGATCCACCGTGCAGCCCCCTCATCAGTCATGTCTATGTAAAATACATTTAACTATTAAACAAGGACCCCTGGATGTTGTGCTGTAAATGAAGCCCACTTCCTTGTTTGGAAGTCAGACTTTTGTCATTTCCTTTGATAAGAAACAATAAAAAGAAACATCCCTTTGAAATATGTCAGTGTTTACAGTGAGTTATGGCAGCAGAGTCGTGACATTCGTCGTCACATATTGGCTTTTCGTGACCTTCATGGATTTGAGGAAGAAGAGTCAAACATAATGTTTTGTAAAAATAGCCAACTTTATATTCTCAGAGTACTAAGACAGCTTTACAAACAGGATGATATGCACACAGCCTTCTTTCTCATCCAAAAGCAGAGCCACAGAAGCCCCGACTCGCTCGGAGAGACAGAGCAAAGAAAAAAAACAATAAACACACTGACAAACCAAAACAAGACAACAAAGGAAGCAAGGGAGTACAGATCTACCCCTTGAGCATCACATTCGTCCTGCACAGTGCACACGGCACTTCTGAAACCAGAGCAATCTGTCAAATAACCATTGCAAGTGTTTCAACATTATATATTACATATTAACAAGAGGGAGGGGAGGTGACTGGAGGGGGGGAAGAGGGATTAAAAATAACCTTTAATTCTATTGACGTTGTGGAGTAAAAGAACCGTATGGCCAAACATAAAGCTTTAATAGCAAAGAATTAACAAAAGATGGCATGTTACACACACAAAAAAAAATCTTTGTATAAAATAAGTTTGTAGGAGAAAAAAAAAAAAGAAGAAGAAAGAAGAATCCGCACCAGAGTTGAGGGAGTTCAGGGAAGCGATTCTCATTTACATATTGACATTGATTTGGTCGACGTACAACCGAGTGCTGGGGTCCTTCCTCTGGCCCCTCATTCTCTTTTCAAACACACACACTCGCACACAAACACACTTGAAAAGAAAACTATTTATCAACAGGAAGCATCCCTGCTTCCTCTTGAGCTTTCGCCCTTCAGAGTTGTTCTGTACACGCTGGTCGCTGCGGCCGGCTTCAGTCGCACATCTCCTCTGGCAGCTCGTGGGGGTTGAGGATGCCGGGCACAGACATCTGGAGCTTGTGTTTCTCCTCCTGGGCTTGGCGCAGAGCCGCCTCTCTCTCCTCCAGGAAGAGGTCTGTTGTGTCCTCGCCAGCGAACTCCTGCAGGACCACACAAGCAGAGGCTCAGAACTGCTCATGCCGGGCTTGAGGCTTCAGATTCAAGCCGACTGAGCTGCCATGTTTCCCAGAGGAAGACCTGCACGGCTAAAACCTTGTACAAAGACCCAAAGCTAAAGTAGTCTGTTGACTTCTGGTGCAGCTTTAAAATACTGAAACGTACATTTTGGTTGTGCCTTTTTTGATCAATGATGTAACTGCAGGACATTCATTTTTATTTTGATTCCAGCAGAGATTTTTTTTTTTTTTTCACATTTAGCCAATGACTCAGACGGATTAATTTGATGTTTTGATATCAAAATCTTTCCTACTATGCTTCACATGCTTTGTTAGAATTATTTCACACCATTTAAAGGGCACATGTGATGCAGATATTAAGTTGGAACTTCTTTCACATATTGTCTGCAAATAACGAACACTTGGAGAACGCATGAGGCAAGACTGTGATGAATCCATGTTTAATACTGGCCGTCAAAAGCTAAAGCGTGGATTAAACCTTCCACTTATAACAAATCACCCGTGTAAAATAAAGACATGTTGTGATTAGCTTGTGCCTTTCCTGTGTCAGAGTCGCTACTACAAGACGAGTATCATTCAGGTTCTGGCATGATATGTTAGAAAACCATCACCATTCAAAGTCTTACGGGACCCTCTTTATCTGTCTCTATGTTTATTGCAAAATACTGGATGGATGCAACTGGTCCATTATTTCCAGTCTACTGTTTTTTCCACACTTAGAATATTTCCTGCTCAGTTTCGAGGCTACAGGTCTTTGCCGTTTCCACCAATTACTCACCTTGATCTGCACAAGGAAGTCCCTCAGGTGCTCCTTGAAAGCGGGGATGTCCTGATTCAGGCTGAACAGACCGGTAACGAACACCTTCACCTGGGCACTGCAGACAAGATGTTCAATAAGCCTCAAGTCAGACCAGCATAGACGTGGTTGGGCACGTTTTTTGTTGACTCTTCTCTCATCTGATAACTACTTCATCATGTCTGTGATGGCTTTTGGACACTCCCAAAGAAGTGACAGCTTGCTGTGAGTGTATTTACAGCTCAGTTGCAATGGGATTTAGAAAGTTTGCAGATTTCTCCCTAAATGATCCCGGCCAGTGACAGCAAATGTCTTTGATTTTTTTGCCAAACACAGTTAACATTATACTTTAATATTATACATTATAAGCCTTTAAACATACAAGCGCTGTATTAGCAGGTGTTTTCTTTATGTGATACAAAACACAAGATCTTCTAACCCTTCTGTAAGCTTTGACCTTATTTCATGCAAGAATCCAGCTGTAATAATTCAGGATATTCCCTCGAATCTGAAGATGAAAGTCTAGCCTCACTTTGCCTAAAATGTATTTTATGATGAAGCTGCTCCAGCTGTGTTAAAAATATCACTAATTTATTTGTGTCCTTTTATCCGTGGGTGTTTATATAAAACCTTTTCCACGAGCAGGCACCTAATACCGGGAAACATTAACCAAACACATAGCTGGTGTAATCCTACTGTGGTTCCCGGGCTGCCTAAAGCCTACTTACTCTTGCAGATGGGGGAAGGCTGTCTTCAGCAGGTTGGCAATGTACTCCTGGACGTGTGCCTGATTGTTGGCGGGGCTCGCAGCGCTCAGAGCAACGCTGACCTTCCCCTCCTCCACCAGGTTAAACATGTAGGCCAAGATGGTGGCGTGCATGGTCAGACCTGGAGACAGAGCAGAGGCCCACATTAGCAACTTTGTCATGTGCATATTGAGAACGTCTTGTGAATTTGAGAAATAATTCATATGGAACCAAAGATGGAAGATATGATTTTAATGTAGAAGCATAATGACATGACTTCACACAACCAGCTGTCCCCGGGTCAGCCTCTTTACCTGCAGTGTGAGACGTGTCGGTGACCACGGAGAAGATGTGCTGCAGAACGTCACAGAAGTACGTCTGGTAGAAGCTCTGTGCTGCTGCTTCCTCTGCAGACACGTTCTGCAGGAGAGTGTACAGGATCTGGAGACCTGCGGAGGAAGAGGACACACTCATTAGAGATTTAGTAGAATTCAACATCTGCACGGCTCACCTACATGGAAGTTCACCTGAGGTCAGTTTCTGCTGAACCAACAGCTGAATGTTGGATGAAGTTATGCTGTGTAATACTTGTAGAAACATCCTTCAAAGACACAGTATCTGCACTTCAGTGGCAACCTGCTTTTTACTTTCTTATACGTGACATTATCACAAAACTTGTTGCTGACTGCTCTTGTACCTTATCCATACACTGTATGTAACAGCTGGATATGGCCACAGGGATATCATGGACTCATTTGTGGACCACCATTACCATTCTACCTGTCATTATACAGGTAGCTCAACCCGACGCATACCCGCTTTATTTTCTGCTTTACTCTAACTTGAGCCAAAATTGACTAAATAAACACCACGCTGCATTTAAAAAGTCTTAAAACTAGCAATTGAGACAAAAACACCTTAGGAAAATGTTCCCTGAGTCTACTGAGCAGTATGGCCCTTTTATTATGAATTCTCCTGCAAATCCTTTGACAACCAGAGAATTCACCACCTGCTGGCTCTAAGAAAGAAGGCAGGTTTCAGGCTTTAGTGTTCAGACCCAAGGTTACAATACAGTCTATGGTTCTATAATCCCTTTTATTCAGAAGGCTGTTAAAACACAGCCTTCTGGTTTTGCCTTCAGTTTTTATAGACTTAAATCTGGGATTATAAATCACATCATTTCAACATCTGCATCTATTCTGTCTAGCTATGTTCAATAGCAAAATATTTATTGTTTCGCATTTAATTTTAATAACCCTTTAAAAAAAAATTAGTAACTCTGTTGTAACTTGTAGTTTGACCCGACTAAATCAGACCTGTGTCAGCCACGTTCCTCATCGTATGCTTGAAGGCCCAGATGATGGAGTCCAGGATCAGTTTGAACTGAGCTGGGGCAATGGACAGAAAAGCTGGGAAGCACTGGGAGGTGGCAGCTTGGAGGAGGTAGAAGAAATGGGTTCTGTGTTCAGGGAATTCCTCAAAGTCCTGACAGCACAGAAGAAAAACAAGCCACAGTTGTAGTCTGTAACTTTTTCACTGAAATTTCAATTTCTTGAATTCCGACCAGAACAGTCGAACAACTCAAACAAACCTTGTTGATCATATTCAAAGTGCACTCGAACACTGCGTCAAATATCTTGGGGATTTCGCCGGTAATGTGGACTCCCAGCTTGTTAACAATGGTTGCCATGGTGCTGAGGACTTCGGGCTCCCTGGCAGCTGGGACGTTCCTCTGGTAGTCAATGAGCACTGCCTCCAGCAGAGGGGGCACAAAGTTCTCTGCCACCTGGACCACAGAACAAAACAATAAAAATGTTCTCAGTTAGGCTGTAGACAGCACCTGTTAATGGCTGTTCTGTTCAGAGAGTAAATATGGAGCTTAAAGAAAGCTCTAATTAGATACGAGCTGTATTATATCACTTACTACATTCACAAAACATCTGAACTCCGCCTCACGGCTAAATGAATACAGAGGATGCTTTGTGTGCAACGCTGCTAAAACACAGGCCGTTTTACCACCGATTTAAAGATAAGACTCTCTTCCATTACAGAACATAAAACACAGGCCGTTTTACCACTGATTTAAAAATAAGACTCTCTTCCATTACAGAACATAAAACACAGCCAGACTCACCATCTGAGGGTCACTGGAGCGACTGACCCAGCCTGAGATCAGCTTCAGCGTTTCTCTCTTCACCGTCCTCATACTCCGGATGAGAGGCTGCTTTGTCACCATCTCACCTGTACACATAACAAGCAAGAATAAGTCTCAATGGCTGAAGCCTAGAAATCTACAAACACATACAAAGCAAAGGCAAACGCTGAAGGATTTGACTACTGATCAAAGCCGATGCAAAGAATATGATTTCAACTGCGTAAAGTCTCCAATGATGTGTCACTTATGTCAGTAAGGATGTGAATGACTTGATAGTTCATTGAGGCTGAGACATGCAGTGATGCTGTGTGCCGGGTTTCACCTTCACACAATTTCTCTACTCATTAAAGTAAAACTTTTATATGAAAAACTTTTCAAAAGCTTTGTACGACTACAGGTCAGACACAAGTCCCACATGACATCGTCTAAATTAATATCAGACAGGAGCTGACCGTTGGTCTGGACGGCGGATGAGATGTTTTCACTCAGACATTTGTAGACATTGAGCATGTCCAGGTAGATGCGCCCCAGCTGAACAACAAAGGGATGACCAACAGCTTTACAGGCCCTGACGTTTGTCTTGAGGATGCTGCCCAGCTGGCGCACAGTCTCTGCATCCTTCAGGATGTCCACATTCTGCAGCACAAGGTCCAGGTGACAGATTTAGCACAAACCAACAACAACCAACAGTGGGCTGCACACTGCCTTAAATGAAAACGTATCAGGTCAGGGACAAAATCAGTGCATCACACTGTACCACCGGTCCTCCTGGTGTCCTTACCTTGGTGGCCTGCTGGATGATGCTGTCCCACACCTGATTAGGTAGCAGCATATACTTCTCAATCAACAGCTCTTGAACTGCCTGATCTGTCTGTGCACCAATCATGTAGCCCACTGCCTCATAAAATGTATGGACCTGCAGACAAAGACAAGGGGCAGAGCTTAAATCTGACTTGCTTTACTGTAAAACACAACACGTGTCACCTGAGAGTCAGGCAGACTCTGATGCCATCAAACACTTAAAGCTGTGCCAACGCTGACTTTTGATAGGACCATGTGAATAAGTCAGAGACAGGTGAGTCAGGACTCACCTGCTGAGGCTGCAGGTCACAGATGATGGTGTTGATGTTGTTGAGGATCTCGTCGATGAAGGGCATAACCTCTCCCACTTGAACCTGGACAAAGTGACGCCGGCACTTCTGGGCAATCTTGATGAACGTGTCACACGCCATGTCTTGCACACCATCATGGGTCTCTGTGTGACAAAGAAGAAGATAAACTCAACAAAATCGCAACAGGCCGAATTCACCGACAGCATTCGTGTGTTCGTCAAATTTAAAGTAACAGTGTACAGGTCTGTTTAATGATTCTGTATTCAGCACAACACATCAGAAACCACACGCTGCAGACAGGCATAACAACGTTTTAATGAAGGGGCACTGATTAGACCTGTGTGGAAGACTTGGTCGTTGCCCATTTCTCACCATGCATAAACTCAAAGAGCTTGTTGACAACGGTCTTGAGGAACTTCCAGTGCGCTCGAAGGAAGCGGGGATACTGGCCCACGATGTACATGATGTTTGACGCTATTATGGCCTTGTTGTCTTTACCTCTTTTCTGCTCACACAAGCCAAGCAGGTCCTGCATACATAACACACACACAGTTAGCAGACGTTGTTTACAGGTCAACACACACAACTGCTGTGTGGAGGATGGTCTGGGATTACAAAAAAAAATGTTAGTATTGCTTAAAATGGACTCAGCAGCAGTTGGCTAAATAAATGCTTCTGTTACGCAACCATATGGCCAGACACCACTTGCAGACAGTTGGACTGATTTCTGCTTGTTGAGGGATGCTATTTAACGCTGATATAACACAATACTGTTTGAGTGTCCCACCTTGATGACGGTCACCAGGAACCTCTTTTCATCCTCCTCGTGCATTGCTCCACTAATGGAGCCGATGGCCCAGCAGAGCATGTTCAGATTCCTCCACGACCACTCAGTGCCATTCACCTGGTTGTGGAGCTTCTCCGTCATGATGCGTTCGGTGTCGGCATAATCCAGATGTGTCAGGTACACTACACACAAGGAGAGATGGGTGAAATAATGGTCTGATATGGTGCCTTTTCAGCAAATGTACTCACAGTCTGTCTTTTAGTTGTTGTTTTTGTTTTTTTTAAGCTCAAAATACTGCAAAGATGTTTCATTTCACCATGACTGTATAACCCTCAGTTTTAGGATAATTCTTAACAGGCTGCTTTGCAATGAAAACCAATGAGCTGCTGCTGTTAGCGCCCCCTTCAGGAAGAACATGCCATCTGCAGCTATGATTGACAACTGCAGCTGGTTAGCTAGTGCCACCTGGGTCACATTCTCACAGTCTTGTAAAGCTGGGAAGGAGGCATATCTTAACGGCTATTACTTCACACCTCCAAATCTGTAAGAACCACCAAACACAATGAAAATGGACTTTCACCATATGGAACCTTTAATAAATACTTAACGGGGAGGGGAGTCATAAAGGAGGTTGTTTTCTGAATTAGGCTGAGCATCTGAAACCCAACTATTTAATTGTCAACAGAGATTTTTTGCTAACTTACCAAGAGTCTCCCTCATGTTCTTGTAGAGATTGATGGCGTCCGTGTCCTTCATGAACTCCCTGACCACCTCGCCCTGGTCGTTCTCCACCACCAGCACCTCCTCTGGTTTGGCCATACGGCTCACCATAAGCAAACGCACCTGTAAGAAGATGATTAGTTGGATGGATGTGGGAGTCTGCAACACCCTACTAATGAGCCACCAAGTAGTCTAATCCATGTTTATTAAGTACAGTATTAAAGTTGAGACTGCTTTGAATACTAAAATGTTTGCATGGAATAAAGAAGGATTAATGATAAGAAACAACTTTAAAGTTGATCAGAATAATCATGTTTTGTATTTGTGCTGTAATTACACAGCTCTAAATTCACAGTAGAAAATATGTTTCTCATAGAGTGTGTGTGTGTGTGTGTGTGTGTGTGTGTGTGATGGAGGTCCTACCTGGGAGAGCACAGGCAGGTAAAGGTGTCTGCGTGGAGGGACGTCAGACAGCAAAGGGGTGCTGGAGGTGGAGAAAGGACTCTCCCTGTAGAGCTCTGCTGCCAGGTGGTTCCAGTACTCCAGGCAGATCTTAAAGATCTCTGTCTCCTCCACCTCTGACACCAACAGCATATAGTGCAGGGCCTGCAGACAGGACAAAGTGGTGAGGTCAGACAACATTACATCTCTAAGATTCTCTGCTTCCTCTTCCTCCTCCATCTCCTCTCTGTGATGCTCTCCTTCCACGTTGTCACAAAACTTATCACTTGCTGAACATTTTCTTTTCGACAGACATCACACTTTACCAGTGTTCCCTAAACGCCTCATACTGCAGGCTGTGGTAGCTGCGGTGTGCTCAGACAGGTGTGCGACCAAAAATGACATTGAAAAGAATAAACTAGGGCATTCTAATGTCAGAAACCGTGACGTTTTTTTATTTTATTTTTTACAGACACTCTTTTTATCAGTGGAAAAAATGGGCCATGTAGGTTCATGAGAAGACCGCATTTTTAATTGTAAATACCACAGCAGATGGTGCTCATGTCATGAAAGCTAAAAACATTATTGCGAATAATGTTCATTTAATTTTGCGGCCCTACTTCTGAGGTAGCCATTGGAATTGAATGAATTGCTTTTTTCCTTCCCCGGTTCTGTCGGTGTCTCTCTGATCATCAGGTGTGCCTCCTCTTCAGCTACAGATCACTTCATATTTTTAACACGCATCAACAAACAGCTTGTTTGACGCACCAGGCAGAGCCACTGAAGTTATAAAAGCAGTACTTCCCACCACTGTGGTTAACACAGTAGCTGCCTGCGGTTACAGCGACACCAACACAGCTCAATGATCATCAGGCACTCGCATGAATATGTCCAGCTGAAATTTTAACTTGCACACCCTCAAAGAAAGGTTGCAAATGTGACCTTTTGGTCGCAGTCTGGAGCCCTGACATGCATGTATTGTCGATGTGCTGTAGTACCTGCATGGACTCCTGCGAGACACCTCTTACAGTTTACTGAGATGGAGGTACAGGTGTGTTACCTGATTTCCAGCCGTGTTAATAAACCCTACAGTGTCAATTTGTAATAGCATGTCTAGCGAGTGTCAAGTGATGAAGTGTACCAGAGACACTGTGCTTTGAATTTAAATACAATTTAGAGGCAGACTATTGAAGTTGCTGCAACAGCATTTGTAGACATCTGGTGCAGTTACGCAGCTGTTTCCAGCAGCTGGACTGACATTAACTGTTGCATGTAACTGTTTACTACAGTTATGAGGAATATTTTCATATAAAACTGCAGGGAAGAGATAATGTCACAGGCTATTGACTCCAGCTGGTTGGCTGTATCTAGACCATCAGTTAATTTATTTATATATATATATATAAATATAGCACAGACACAGGTGCAAGACTGCTGTTGCTTTTTGACCTAATTAAAGTCACAACATCTCAATCTGGTTCTCATTATTTTTCACCATTTTTAAAATAACCTGAACTTTGTGTGATTGCAAAAATGCTTGTGCAGCCTATAGTGTCTGATTACATAATCTATGGTCTCCTGACTTTTTAATTTCTTCACTTGGCTATAGTTTCTCAGAGCTTTTCTTGTAGCAGTTGGTTTAATTGCTGCACAGACTGTTGCTGCTGTCATCCTCCACATCTCCTCCTGAAACAATCATCTGCCTGCATTTATGTAAAACACAAGAAAGGTGGCCCTTCCCACTGTAATTGCTTTCATATGCATGTCATTGCAAAGGTGTAATCAGGACACCACAGACGAGTAAAAAGAAAACCAGAGAGGCAGGAAAACAGTCACTGGATAGGGGAAGGAGTTTTGTCCCAAACATGACTAAAAGCTACCATCTGAGAGCAGCAGGTCTGTAGACATCAATCCTTTAAGTTCACCTTCACATGATAAGCAACACTCAGTCTGAACAGTAAAACGTGGAGTTTGTTCCTAAGTGAAAGCGCCCTGTGTTGTCTCCTACCTCCATGAGTGTCTCTCGCAGGTTGGGTCTCTTCTCGATGAGCTGCCCGTGTTCTTTGAGGAAGGTGCAGAGAAACAGGCTCAGGTTCTGAATGAAGTTCTGCTCGTCGTCCTTCCCATTGGCGTAGGCCACTCTGATGTTTGTGTTCAAAGGCAGCATCTGACCAGATGACAAAACATTACGTCAATAGCTCAATTTTATTTATTTATCCTCAAACTTTTTTCGGTCTTACTTATTCTGCCTAATTACATTGTTAGAACAAGCTATCATGTATTCTGAATCTGTATTTCTCCACTGAACCTATGACCCTGTTTTGCTTTTTTCTAAAGAGCACAATGCACGTCCTTGAAGATAACATGACCGGATAGACCTGGTTCACACACCAGGAGACAACTGAAACTCCTCTATTCTATTAGATAGGAGTGTTACTTTAGATACACGCCGTACCAACAACATCCATACATGTTGCTTACCAAACATCAAGGACGTGGACAGAGCGCAGAAGCCTGTCATCACTCTTGCATATATGACAAATATTGCATAGGTAGCATTTCCCTTTTCATCAGTGTGATGGGCATGTTTGAGTGGCATATGTCTAAAGGCCAGAATGCCATCACTCTACCAGACTGACAAAGCAGCAATGCTATGCATGTATCCCAGCTTCATAAAGGGTGTTTCAAAGGTTTATAGCGTCTACACGTGGCAGCTGATTCAGACTACACAGTACAGTGAAGCATTTCAGTTTCACTCTGTGCCCGCATTAAAATGCTCTGAACAAAGAACTGGCGATCCTACAGGTTCCTCTAATGCTCGATGTGTTCTGAGGAGTTTGTAGAACGTCCCTCTGGTTTCAAAGTGTGTTGTTCTGTTCAATCAAACAACCGTTTGTGCTGCGTGCAGTCTTTGTGAGGCAGGAGATCTGCAGCAAACTGCGTGTTTGTGAGTGTGACGATACACACCCGTCAGTGTGTAATCATACTGAGTGCAATTAACTTAAGTACCATTCAACGTGATTGTGTGAGAGTGTGTACCTGTTTGAGCTGGCACATGGTGAGGGTAAACAGGTTGACAAACTGCTCCTCGTACTGGTTGACACTCACTCCAGCGATCTCTGTCAGACATTTGAGTGTCACGTTGCGAAACATGGGCACATTCAAGAACTGGGGGGAAAAATTTTTTAAAAAGTCAGGTCAGTGTTGAACCACCTGTTTGCTTTAATTACAAGGCAACCGGTTCTGTATAATTTGTGCGCTTTCTCCAGCACTGCTCCTCTGGTGGCCACACGACTTCAGAATGAACCATTGTTACTTAAATCTCAGTATTTATTTCAGCTAATAAACTTACAGCAATATACAATCTGTCAAAAATTTAATCTACTTTTTGAAAAGCATGAAAACATACAAAAACTGAACATCACAAGTTTTTTTTTTTAAATTTCATTTTAAATTGGCAAATGCTGTCAGAGCTTTCTGTGCTTTGTCTTTTCTTGACATCATGCGGCAAAACATGCATGTGACTGGTTTTCTTGCACAGAAATATTGATCATCCTTACCATGTCATTATCCAACACGACACTTGTGAGCCAAATCTTAGATAGAAATGCCCATCACTTTGCAACAGACATCATTTACTCAATGAATATCAGTTGATTTACCTTGTAGACCAATGTGCTGATGAGTTTTGTCTCAAAGATGTAACCTAAAGGAATCCAATTCAAGAAGCGGAGGAGAGTCTCCAGTGTGGCGTGGACCAGCGGCGCATTCTGAGAATTTTCCTACAGGGAGGAAAAAGTCACAGTGAGGATGTATTGTGGTATTCTTCAAACAACAAAGGAAGATGCTGAGAACTGTTAGGCCTGATGTCGACCTCGTCTTACCATCACAAACTGGCACAGCTGGAATATCTGGGAGAACTCGTTGCACATGCTGAAAGACAAACAGCAGGGATCACTAGAGATCACAGAATCATGACTGAGACTGGACAGAAACTTTGTGGATTACACAAGGCTTTAACCCTGAGATGCAGGCCCCTGATCAGTTTTCCTCCAGATGAGCTTCCATTTAGTCGAACTCTCTAGGTGTAGACTGTGTGTGTATGTGTGCATATCTCACACAGCTTTCTACTGTCATCCACTATGTGTGTCACACTGTTTAAAATCCCCTTCACTACAGAAAACACAACAACCTCCGAGCAGTCGCTTACATGCTGAAAATGGCAGGTTTTGATAAAGATTTTTATCATGCGATGAGGCCGGTCGTCTCGGTTCTTTCGGTTTATGGCTGTCCTGTCTAACGGTTTGATGTTTGCATGTTTTGCCAGTGATGGAAAAAGCTTCATTTTCTAAGCACATTCCACCAAAACAAGACCACCCCAAACTATTCCAGGGGCCCCATTTCTGTACTCTAGGCTTAGCACCTCCAAAGAAAATTGAGATTGATTAAAATAGAACAAAAACAACAACAAAAAAACAAACCAAAGCACTTTCCTTCTCTAGCAGAATGACAATAAGAGCCGTCAAACCATTCTACAATGCCGACACAACGCTTCCCTGCCTTCCTTTTTAGTCAATAATTGGAGATAGCATATATCAATAAGTTGCTACGGGAACCGTGGGCAGAAAAACTTCAGTTTTACATTTGACGCTGTATACATTCAAAAAGTGTCATTCAAATATGCAGTGCAGATTAATAGAATGTACGAGATGAATATCTGCACATCTGAACTGTGCCAGAAACTGATTAAAGCAAAAACGATGACACATTACTGTTCCAGGGTTTGGAATGTGTCCACCAAATGACACAACTCCATTTCCTGAATTCTAAGTACATCAAGCGTATGCATGTAAACTAGGAAAGTAAAACATAAAATAGATAGCAGTGGCCTTCCCTATAGCTCATCTAGTTGAGCGGACGACCCAGAAACAGGGGCGATAGTTATGCAACGCAGCAGTCGTGGGTTCGACTCCCGTTCACGACCCTTTGCTGCAGGTCTCTCCCCATTCTTCTCCCCCCTTTCCTGTCTATCTCTACTGCTCTCAAAAAAGGCAAAGTAATTCTGTGCTCATATTTGTGTCAGGGCTTCACACATTTCTGCAGAAGTCAAACAGAAGTTAGCACCAACACACCACAACCCAGACGTAGCAACAACTCTGCACTTCACTGTAGTCACAGCATATTATATTTACCTGTCTTTGAGGTGCTTGGCCTTCACTTGGGTCATCTGGCCACTGGAGAAGTCAAAGACTTCCTCGCTGAGTAGTTTGAGGATGATCATGTTGTTCTGACAGAGACTCTCACTGGTCCGACTCGCACCCACAATGTCACTGATGAAGGTGGGCCAGTGTTTAGGCCACTCCTGCTTCAGGATCTAAACCAGTCAAGAAAAGATGGCCTCTGTGTCATCAGCCTTTTCGCTTTATGTCAGCCATCGTCCTTATACCATGTGCCAAACTATCAAACGTGTATTTACCTGTACAAGGATCATGTTAAGTTTTGAAATGTACACTCCCTCTTTCTGCAAACAAGCATAAAAACAGTAGCATCAACGTTAAGCAGCACAAACAGCAGCAACATTACATCAGTGCATAAAGGTGCAGCATCATGCACATGTTATCTCACCTCCATGTTTGCAGGGTCAGAGGAAGTCTTGATAATCAACCCAACAACATACTTCTTGATTCCTGAAAACACAACCATGTTTTTTTATTGGAAAACAAAGATAACACTTTCCAGACAAGGAATACAGCTCGTGATTTTATTCAGTTAATGCCACGAGACTGATTGTACCTTCACACTGATTTCTTGGAAGAATCTTCCAGCGTGTTTTGATGACTGCCTCCAGAATCTGCAGTGCGTAATACTGAGAATAATAGAGATGTTTTAGACCTTTGACAATAATCAGAAACAGTGCTTTCATCAACAAAGACAAATGTAGACCACAATATAATACTTGCACTGTCGTCTTGGTGACACCATGTATGTACAGCCATATACAACGCAAGTTTGTGCCCCATGCTCTTTAGATACAGACAGTAAACAACAAAAACCTAAGTGAACATATTTAGGAAAGCAGGCACACAAACGTGAGCACCATCTGCAACTTCAGTTATTATCTCTACACAACAAAAGTGTTGATTTAAAAACGAGGGAAATGGCAGTGATTATGTAAATGGTGTCCGCCAATAGTTAAACAGATACAATCCATTAAAGGAGAACACATTAATCCACAACACTGTCTCGAAAAGTCCTCTGGAACAAACGAAGTTAAGCATTTAACTGTTCTGGCACCAAGTGTGTGTGGTCTGTATCAGATGCAAAGATGTGGATAGTTACTGCAAGCACCAAGAGCCATGATACTGAAACAAATAAAGACATCAGCAACACCAAGTGGAACACCAAAACGTCAACATTTTGACAACACGGTCCACTAAGGGTGTCACCACAAAAAATACATCCCACAAGAGATGCCACAAAAATGGTAAAACTAATAATTCTGCAGATAACTGCTGATTTAAACACAGCAGGCTTCCATGACAGGGAGAAAATCTAATAAACACTGGAGTTTAGTCATAGTGAATTCTCAAAGCCTTGGCCTGATGTAGATAAACTGATAACATCAGCTCACATTATTACACTGGCCCCGAGAGGCTGACAATAAGCAGCTGTTGTCGGTCCATAGCTTTCCTACACGACAATATTAGTACATGTTATGTTCATACTTTAGTTTTCATGTTCTGCGAGAACTCCAGGATGGTGTCGACCCTTGTCCAGGCATCTGGATGGTCCTTCAGGTTGGTGAGCACTTCCTGGGCCACTCTTTGCTACAAGACAGCAACACAGCACAACATTGTAAGGCAATAAATCTTTAGAGTTTAACTCAACTTCAAACATATCCCTTCCCTAATTGCTGCAAGGTAATGGTAATTGACAAATTCCTATTTTCGGTTACAGTCCAACTACACTCAAACCATGAGGGGCTTTGGTTTGTTAACTAGCAAACATACACTACATGCATTCACTTTGCATTGAATGGCTATGAATCCTATCTAGACAGCAGTTCTTACTTGGGATCCAATGTCATGATACATAGAGTTGACAACATTGTCCAACAGGTTGATGTCCAGTTTCTGACTGAAGTCCAGCAGCTGTCTGGCTGGGTGATCTGCCAACATCGTCATTTCTGCTGGCATAGAGATTCTGGCAGGAGAAGAGTAGAAATTATTTAAACTTTAAACCCAGCAATCCCAGGTAATAGTAACAATGGTTCTACTGAAACACACACACACTAAAGTGGGATGGATTACAATAGGAGATCTAAAAGTTAACTGTGGGTGCTTTGTTCTCCCTCTTCTACTAATGTTTTAAATAGTACATACATACATACATACATACATACATACATACATACATACATACATACATACATACATGAGCCAAAACAGGCGGGAAAGCTATACGCATGGTTACTTAGAAACACATTATTCTATTTCGGCTAAAATGTGTTAAGGGAGCCAGCCTGAAGCCCGCAGGCAGCCCTCGTGGTTCAATTATGACAGTCACTGACACATATAATACAGTGGTAAAATATGAAACAACGCCTCCGCCTGGTCAACAATATGCGTAGAGCTGCCTTCACACAACCCGACTCATAGACCTGTTTTACGACCATTGAGGGCAATTAAAATACGTTAGCAATGGTGGAAAACAGATCGTAAAGGCACCAGACCACCGCGTGTCGTGACTTGTCACGTTTGGTTTGAGTAGCCGCCAGTTAACACCCAACATTAGTTACTTTAGAAACTGACGGATGCTAACGTTAGCCCACGCTGGGTAAGTTAGGTTAATGATGACCGGACTTAACTTACCTGGTGTGTGCTGTCCCCTCGTCGAAAACAAATAATGGTTAACTGATGGAACTTGTAGCCGAAGACCGAAATATCAACGCGATGAAACAAGCGTTTAACGTTCTCTCATGCCACACGTTTACGTTGCGCTGCTCCTAGCATTCGATAGCCAAAAGCTAATGTTAGCTTTCCTAAATGACACTAACAGTCGGCGCTAATTTAAAAAAAAGCCTTCGCGCTGGATACTTATCGATTCTTGGCGATGTGTTAAGAGCTTCCCGCAGTTTACCACAGCATATTGTCTCTTGTCTTCAATCACTCTCAAATATATCTCTTTTAGCTATCAGTGATTACACCCGGCTATTAGCAACTTAGCGTGCTAATGGAAAAGTCAATGATGATTTAGGTCTGCTGGCTAATGTAACGTTAAGCTAAGCTAACAACACAGATTCACGGAGTCACACTTGGAGCCGTATTCCGGGTCATAATCACGAAGTGAAAGAGTCTCGTTTTATTTCTGGTTCTATTCGCACACACTGTTGGACAGCAGAGATGTTTTAATGCGTGCAAGTGTGCTCTTCCTCTAAGCTCATGCTTCCAACCACGGACCGGTTGAAACCGGTTGAGACCGGGATATTCATTCTCGGTGTTTCGGCCCGTAGCGCGCCGCGTAAAATTTGGACTATGTACCCGCCCATCCAACACATGATTGGTTCTGCCAGCGTTGTCGTCACGATTTGTCATAGGCTGGGTGGAGCTGTCAGTCAGCTCAGTTTCCCGCCCACTGTTGGCTGCAGACTGACCTCTGGAGATGTGCGACATCAACGTGGACTCACAAAATAAAATCCTACATCGTCAGTGTGACATAATCAAGGTCATGGTGGCTGGAAAAAAACACTGAACGAGTGTTTTATATAGCAGCAAATGAGGTGGTATTTCTAATTTCATAGTCTTTTATCCAAAGCTCTGTCCAATAACTTAATTGCAATAAACAAACAATTAATGCTGTCAACATTGTGCGCATATGACATCAAACTGTGTTGTGTTTCTGAAATGTCATTCATTATTAGACCTTTTTCATTGAAGACATTAGAATAGAATAGAATAGAATAGAATAGAAATGCTTTATTAATCCCCAAGGGGAAATTCTGTTGTGACAGCACAAAGATAAAGTTCCCACCACCTTAAACACAGATAAATAAGCAAAAATAAACAATAAGAAATATAAAATGCAAAATGTGCAATAAATGTAAGACATAAAATTAGTGATGGCTGAATTTAATTTTGCTGTTTCATGGCCCCCAGATTCATTTTACATGTTTACTGTATTCTAAGCAAATTTTTAGTGTGTGGCGTTTTAATACACCTACATAATAGGTGATTAAATATATTCCAACCCATTGGGAATCATGGCAAGAAAACTCTTGGGAACTTGAAAACAAAATAAATCGCAAGAAAAACATTTTCTTGAGAAAAAGGTTTAATTTCCAGTCACAGTTCCAAATTGCTGTTTATTTTATTCAGACACTGCACATTAAAGTTGCAAAGTGTAACTGATCAGATTTAAATAGCGCTTTTCTAAGTCAAAGAGTAACTCAAAGACGCTTTACACCGTCAGTTATTCATTCACACACATCCGCGGTAGCTACAGTTGCAGCCACAGCCGCCCTGGAGCAGACTGACAGAGGCGTGGCTGCCATTCTGCCCCTCCAACCACCACCTCAATGATCCATTCATTCACACCAGGCAGGGTGGGTGAAGTGTCTTGCCCAAGGACACAACGACCATGACACAGGTTACAGGGGGGAATCAAACCGCTGGAATCTACCACCTGAGCCACAGTCATAATCTTTTATAGCAACAACTAAAACAGTAAACTGCAACACTTGAAATCAAATCTTCCCGACAAGTAGGATGTAGAATAGATTTAAGGAACACCACTACAATCACGGTTTACTGGGATGCTTCAATAGAAGAAGCCATTGATACTGCTGTTAGTAACTTGTGCTTTTCCTTCAGTAAGTCAAAGTATGAACTGTGCAAATGGCCTTGGCCAAAGTCACTCCCTGAAATGTGAAACCTGAGCTTTTTTTGTGCACACAAAAAGTGTCAAAGTGGAGCAAAATCATTTACATTACTTATCCCAGAAGTGCCATATTAAATTGATAATTCTCGTAGATCAATCGTAGCAACTGGACTTGCTTGAGTTCCTTGAAGACGTTCCACCTCTCATCCAAGAGGCTTCATCAGCTCCGACTGTTTGGGAGTTCCACATACTGATATCCTTAAGGAGCCATTGACACCTGAGTTTCTCAGGTTGAAACGTAGATGATTCCTGTAGTCTGCAAGTTTTCTGGCAGCTCTTTCGTACTCCCGCACCAGTCGACGGGCGTTCTTCCCATAGTGTGTAGAAACATGTCTGTGAAGATTCGCAGTCATCATAAATTGATAATCATTGACAAATGTCCAAATTCTCAATTTCCTTGCTCACTACTAAATGTTTATTTGTGTGGTATTACTGAATCGTGAGCAACAGCAAGTGTTCAGACACAGCCCCGTCTCAGGTACAGCGTACAGTTTTAATTCTTACATTTTATTCTTAGAAACACAATGACATTTTAAAATTTCAGGAATAAGAAGCATCTTTATCCTCATTCTCACTTATTTATTTGATGAGTTCAGTTTTCTGTCAGAGCTTTTGAATTCTGCGATGGTACACGCCACTTGAATGATGATATCTGATGACATCACTCCCCTGCTTCCTGCTCTTTGGTATCAGCCTCATGCTCGCTGTCGTCTGAGTAATTCTCATGATCATCTGAGTAGTGGTAGCTTTCATCAGAGTAGTGCCGATTGTCTCCACGGTGATCCTCGGCTGTGCAGCGACCGCTGGCATCCTCAGCATCTCTGTGACTTGACGAGGCCTTGTCACTCTCCTCCTCCCCATCTCTCCCTTCGTCCCTCTCGTCTTCATCATCCCCGTCTTCATCATCCAGGAAGACCTTTCTGTAGTGAACAGGTTCGTAGCCCATGTCCAGCTCCTCGAGGTCACTGAACAATAGAAGAATACAGCCAGTAGATGACAGTAATATGTTCACCATGAAGCCCAAAGCACACATGTACACTTACTCAAAGGAATCATGTTGCGTTTCTATAAATATTTGTTGGTAGCTTGTGCAGCAGCCATGTCACAGATTTACCTTTGTCTGCTGTCACTGGACGGGGAGGCCCTGCGTGCAGACCCTGATTTGGCTGCTCTGCTGCTGATGAACTCCTCCGTGACATCACATCCACGCAGGGCTTCGGCGTAGCGCTTCTCCGCTGCCTGTTTGGCATTCCTCTGTTATCAAAGCACAAGTTCAAAAAAATGATTTCTCCCGTTGGGATTGTCAATAAAATGGCTAACAAGACACCCCAACCCTCAACGTTTGGAGTTTAGAAACTTCTATTAAGCTGATGAAAGAAAAAAAAAACAGAAGAAAAAAAGTTGAAAAGTGCACTAGACCAGCGGTTCCCAAACTGGTGGTCAGGACCCCCATGAGGGTCGCAAGATAATTTCAGGGGGTCACCAGATCATTGTAAAAAATAAATAAATGAAAAAAGCCTACATTTATCAAATAAATGTGTATTAGGGCTGTCAAAATTTAAAGTGTAATATTTACAACCAAGATCAGTTTCAACAGTAGCATTTACAAGTAGAGTTTTACTTTTAAGGATTTGTCTTTTCTTCACTCACTTTATTATTAATGTCCTGAAAATCTAAATTAAAATAAACAATTGTTAAGTTTGGAATTTGTTGTTAATGAGCTAGTTTTATATTGTAACTTTGCTTAATTCTTTTTCGGTGTGTGTGTTGGTTGGGTCTTTATTTCTGTTGCTGTAAACACACACTTGAAAGTGTGTCATGGAGGCGATCAAGCAGACATCAGCTTTGACTGAGGCAGAGACGTTCACCTGTGCAACCTGCTCCAACAGCAGCGGCCTTCCCTTCACTCTCTGCCGCATCTCCTTGATCTCCAGCTGGTATTCCTTCCTGCGCTGAAGGTCTTGTTTCCTTTAGAGAGCATGGAATAATGGGTTATCTCTTTCCTTACAGGACACTGGAAACCCTCAGCCGCTTGCCCTGTAGTCTCTGCACACAGGAGCTGCCCCACAAAACCTCATAAAATAATACATGAATGCCATCATTTCTTAAATAAAGACAAACATGAAGTTTCTGTGGTGATTTTGAGTAAACAGAATTTATAACATGAATTTAGGTGCTCAGCAAATGGAACGGGCAGATGTTTCCATAGTGGTTGTGTGGACTTTAGGTTACCTGAACTCTTTGAGTTTGCTCTGGTGGGTCTGTGAGAGAGCCACATGGGGGTCGTTGGCCTGGGCACGCTTCACAACCACCCTCTGCAGCCTCTTCTCCCTCTGCTTCTGTCTCTCCTTCCACCGCTCCTCCTCCTCCTCAGCTTTCTTCCTCCGCTCCAGCGCCTTTCTACTCAGGGAGATAATTTGGTCACAGATGGAGGAAGGTCTGGAGGAGTGGACTTTGGCAAGGAGGGGGTGGACAGTGGAGCATATGGGTGCAACAGTAGGCTACAAAAGTGTTTTGGAGTGGATGGTGGGTCACAAGCACACTGCTGGGGATTTGGGGAAAATGAGTTCAAACAAGAGTTCTGCCGTAAAGGAGTTCAAACCCAGACGGAGCATATTGTGTCTAAACAGGATATTTGAGTTCTGAGGGTTTCTCTATGTCAACTATAATGGTGGAAACGTTTGGGATCCTAAGATGGTACCTCACGGCCTCATGGCGCTTTTTTGTGGCATCTGTAGCTTTGGCAGGAATTAGCTCCAGGCTGCCTGAGAGCGATGAGCAGAGGCTGGAGTTTGGAGTCCGAGCTGGTCCGGGGCTGATGTGTGGCCAGCGCAGCATCCGAGGGCTGCTCTGCTCCTTGTCAATGTCAGCCAAGATGCGTTCTCGGTGTGAGGAGATCTGCGATGTCCTCAGCTCAAAGGGTTCACATGCAGTTGTCGGCTTTACCTCCTTCCGTTTCTCCAGGTGCTTCTGGAAGCGTCTGTAGCTGGCATCAAAGTCAGGCACCTCTTTGTTTATTTGTGGCCTATGTGAAAAGCCGTCCTCCTCTCCAGCTGAAGCGCCGCCGTCTTTAGCCTTCTTACGCTCACTGAGTCGTCGTGTGAGCATGCTGGGAGGCATTGAAGCACTGTGGAGCATCTCCTGAGCTCTCATCTGTATCTTGATAGAGCGATACAGCTGCTCCTCCTTCATCTGCTCCCCTGATGCTGCTGCATACACAGACTTGGGCACAGGCTTGGCCTTGAAGGGTTTAACTTTCTCCTGGCTGGACTGTTGTTGGTCACGTAGTCGTTTCTGCTCCTTCTTTAGTCGCTCCCTCTCTAGGAAGCTGAAGGGCTTCTGGATGGTTCGAATATGCTGCTCTTGACGCTCTCTCATGGTTCGCAGTCGTTCCTCGTTCCGCCCCTGCAGCTCTTCATAAAGTGGGAGGTGAACATGTGCAGGTACGGGACTGGCACGAAACTTCCTCTGGCACTCTGTCAGTTCTTCTAGCTGCCGTCGCAGCTCTCTATTCTCCAGTTCGATCTCTGAACGTGTCTTTACGCCATGCTTGCGCCTTTCAGCCTCACGCAGTGTCATCTGAAAAGGTTTTGGGATGGTCACTCTGTGCCTCCAGTGCTCCTGTTCTCCATCTTTATTCCCCTGCCTCTTCTTTCCTTTTCTCTTTCGTGACCTCCTCTGGTCTCCTGGTAAGCTGTGCAGTGAAGAGGAGGAAAGGCGGCGACTATAAGGGGACAGTTTGAAGTCCCTCCACATGTTCTTGATGTGCTCTTTGGGAGAGAAAAGCAAGCCTTTCTCCACATCATTACTGACAGCTTCCTCCTCATCTGAAGAGTCTGACTGTCCAGAGCCCCACCTGAGCTCCACAGCAGAGTGCGACTTCCTCAAGCGATGGCATGAGGCAGCTGGGCTGGTACTTGCCCATGGCAACCTAACAACAACCAAAAACAAACAAACAAAAATAAAAACAATGATTGGTAAAATCACAATCTAATATCTCAAAGTGTCCATATCACAATGAAATGAACTGTTTGTTCTCAAAGAACTGGGAGGGGACATGTTATCTTTAATAAATTTAAATTAAGTCAATCAGGTAAACTACAAGACACAATAAAAGCTTGAATTATAAAGTTATTTTCTCTATGCATTCATCTGTCAATTATTCTTCTCAATTTTTTGACCAATCCTTTAATTTCTAAAATGTCAGAGAACTGTGAGAAACATCCTGCACAATTTCTCAGATCCTAAATATTCATGTTCAGAATGTTGATCATTTCTAATCAGCAGTCCAGAATCCAAAGATATTCAATTTACACGAATATAAAGGCACCAAATCCTCAAATTTAAGCCTTTTTTCTTGAAAAATAATTCAATTAATCATTTATGATGAGAGCAACAGCTGCTATCTTGATATTTTATATTCTGTCAATTATTTCAGTCATCATTTCAGCTCTAACTACACCCATTACTCTGGCCAGCATATCTGACAACTTCACAATGTTCTAAAGGATCAGAGTTTTTTCACTTCCTGAGATTCAGTTTGTGCTGCACAAAACACTGAAGAACAACAAGACAAATAAATGTGGTTTTCGACAACCAATTGTCAAGTAGTTTGGATAATCTACAAATAATACTGTCAACAGTTTGTTAAAAAAACAAAAAAAACAACTCTAATAGCACTTTGGTAGTTTCTGGTTTGTGGCTTAGCGAAAGTGAGAGCAACAGTATTTCAGAAAAGACGTGTTGCAGTGGAGTTTTTCTAAGCTTTCAGCTGCAAAACAAAATTAGGTTTACCTCCATTATACTGGGATAACAGCAGACATTTCAGAGGAGGAAGGACAAGTCAAACAAAAAACATACTTTTTGCATCGTGACATAACACTGGCAGTAAATGAAAAACTGACCCTTTGTGCTATGAAATATTGAAATAGCATCCCCCATAGTAAATAAAGGAATAAGATTGCTATTGTTTGTTGTATTTGCCTGTTAAAACCACAGAGAAAATTAACTCACCACAATACATTTTGAGTTCCGTGTACAATCTTGATCAAAACTCACCCACCTGTGCCCTACATCCAGCTTTGTCATGTCTAAAGGCTCCATGGACTTGAGCTGCAGCTTTTGCTGGTACATGCTCTCCAGCTCAGCCATAGTGCGCAGGTGGGCCTTCTTCAGCTCCTCCAGCTTGCTGTAGTACTCCTCATTGGAGAAAAAGATTTCACTCAGGTCGAAGTGGCCTCCTGCCGCTCCGTAGTCGGTCCTCCTGTGAGGACCACCCTTCCCCTGATAGTCCTCCTCACAGAAGTCAGAGCCTGAGTCCTCATATTCCAACTGAAATGGAAAAAGATCACAACAATGTCACATCCCAGCCAGCGCTCATGTTTGAATCTTAAACAGCATATGGTTTAACTTACACATTTTTGTGTGTGATCTGAGATGTAGCTGTCAGATATTTTACTGTAGCTACAAGAGGTTGGCTTTAACCCCCATGCCTTCTGGAGCAGGGCAGCCATGCTCAGCGGCACTCGGGCTCCTCCAGGTCTAAGCCTATTATCGTGCTACGGCAGAGACGTGGGCCATATGGTGGAGCACAAAGGACAGCTTACCACAAAGGAGTTTAACTGACACACACTCTGAATCAGTTGTCTGGCTCCATTAAAGCTCACATCATCATGAGGCGTTAATCAAGAGTGTCACTGAAATGGGACACAAGATGCAGCATGTGGGGAAAAATAAGTGCTGGGGATTAAAAACTGAATGAGACGTCTGGTAATCTAGCCAAGACGGATGTCCTTAAATAGACAGGTAAACATATTATACAGATCAAATCCCTTCCGCAACACAGGCTGACCTAAAACTGTCATCAACAGGTCGACTGGACAAGAACGGAAACGCTGTCAGGTTTACCTGACAAACAGATTAAAGATCATACTGGTGGAAATAATGGATAGTCTGGAACACACAGAAGGGAAATACGTTCAATCAAATATCAGTCACGTGTTTCCTCTGAATTCAGACCCGCAGCATTAATGTGACAAACCACTTTAAACTTGTTAAGCCAAATCTTTGATGTGTTTGCATTGCTAAGAATGCATTTTATGGTTATTTTTATGGTTGTAGTAATCAACCAATTTACTACTTTACTTTCGGAAGACTGAGCTAGTTGGAGCTCATCTGTAAAAAAAGCTGTCAGATGAACTTTTACTGTGTTCTAAACAAGAAGCTGAGGTTATAATGGACACCATCAAACTGCACACCAGCATCAACACTCAGTGAAGTGACTCCATCGCCTTTACCTCCTTCTCGTAGTCCCGGTTGTCCATGTGACCCGTAGCCGTGTACGGCAGGGCTCTCTCGCGCTCGTACGAAGCTAAAGGCGCCTTGGTGTGCGGGTCCACCGGCGTCTTCAGGCACGACGTCACCAGAACGTTGGTCCGGTGGGCATTCGCCATGACGTCGTTCCAGTTTTATAATAAGTTATGGCTATAATAAAAATAAAAATAAATTAATTAATAATAAAAAAAAAAGGTATGGAGTAAGTTAACTGAGTGAATAGAGGGCCACTGCGTCCGTCGGTAACTAAGCAACAGGTGTGCTGCTGCTGCTGCTTGGCAACGGAGAGGCTTGGTTGGACAGGAAGTGACGTAGCTGGCAAGAAATGACATGCGCGGGTTTCACACAAATTAAAAGCGTCTGACGAATTAATTACGAGAAATTTAGAGTAAAAACACGAGTGGACAGACTTTAAATGATTTAAAATCGTATCCACTCTTGATAATTATATCGGTAAGTGTCAACAGTAGGGGATTGCATCCTATAAACAAATTATTTATGAAGACTAATTTTAAAATTCAGAGTAGAAACCTGTGATAACTGACACACAGGTTAGAAAACATGGGCTCAAAGAAGCCAAATTGAGCACAGCTATGCTTTCCAATCAGTGTAAAAGCAAAAGTGGTGATAAGATGAACACCAGAACTGTCTCAGGTTTGAACCTATGGTCTGATTCTATTTCCTAAAACTCTGTAAAATGATATAAGAAGATCAGTGACCAATCAAAAGTCAGTGGAAACACAGTTGCAGCAGTAATCGGAAGGCGTAGAATGAGCCACAATGGCTGTAATCCTAATAAAAAAACAGCCTTACTGTAAGAAGATAGTTTGGTAAAGAACATAAAAGGAAGCCTAATGACTGCTGGGAGCTCATTTTTCAGTCAGGTGAGAACAAAATAAATGTGTTCGTCTGGGATGGGGTCCAGCATGAACCTGGTCAGGACTGCCACAGTGAGTGTATAGTCCCCACAGTGAAGCACAGTGGTGATGATATGGGGCTGCATGAAGGCAAAAGGTGTTGGGGAGATGCTATTTATAGATGGCACCATGAATAGCTGACAAGATAACAACTGGTCTGCAGAATCTGTGCGGAGGAGGAACATTATCATGATCCAAAGCACAGCCAAAATTACACAAGAGGGGGAAAAAAAAAATTCTAAAGTGGAAACTATGACCTGGCCAAGCAAAAAATGTCAGTGAAGAAAACAGAACCTCTCTCCAGAAACAATCCCATATCCACTATGCTGAGGAGGAATGAGTTGATGAGCATACAAAGTATTGAAAAACAAAATATGTGAAACTCAGTCATGTGTTCAGTTTTGCTCCCGCTGTGGGACCTCTATGTTTAATATAGTAAATGTAAAGCTTTAATTTTGAAAAGTAGTTGATATGTAGGTGATATTGCACAAGAGTGTAGTCACCTCTACTGTTTACACACACAAAGCTATGAAGTGTATTTGGTTTTTGTCATTCTCTCTTAAGTGAAAAACCATCTCTGCGAACTCACAGACTTGATGTCTGAACTGCAATGAAGAGGTGGCTGAAAAGTCAGTGAACACATTTCTGTCCCTCACAAAGCAGTGGACAGAATTTTCCCAATAACGGTGGCTGTTAATACAAACCTGGTTCATGTGGGTCTGTTCTATTCACCATCATCAGATAAGCAACCCTGATTTAACTGAGCCACAATATTTTGCACGATCTCCTGGACATACTGACTTCAGTTGGCTTTGTCAATTTAATTTTTGGCATTTTAGCTGCTTCCTTCTATTAGGTACAAATAAAGCAATTTTCCACTTGCAGCTATTCTTCATTTGATTCTTGAACATTTAGGATTGCTGCTGAGACATAACGGCGTATGAAATATTAATGTTCAACAAAGAGTAAGAAAGTATTATAAGCCGAGTTAAAGAATCCAAAGTACACTGCAATTGTTTTACTTAATTTTTGAAAATCCTCTGAAACACAAGAACACAAAAACGGAAAGCTAGATTATCAGTGACCACATAACAGGCCACAGAGCAGCAGTTTAACTTTTTGCAAGGCTAATAAATAAATCAATAAATCACACATGCAACAGCTGGAGTGTCAACAAAAAAACAAGCCTTTGTTTATTAAATTAGGCAACGTAACAACTACAGTGGAAATCTGGACAGACGGATGTCGACAGAGTCCTCTGATCCCTCGCAGTACGAGCAGGCTTACTGACAGAACTCACTGGACAGACTTATCGGGTGTTCACCTGGAACAAGACGAAACAAACGGTCATTGACTTAAACAATGAAATATACTTCACTGAGACTGAGATTTAACGCTGATAAAAACAAAAGTATTTTTTTTAGAAACGTAATCCATAGTTTGGGATGTTGAGTCGTACCACGTCGTCGATCTTGAGGATGCTGCGGACCGTCTCTGTGGCCAGAGTCAGAGCGCTGATGGAAACCAGTAGAGGCTGCACCACCAGCTCCTCCAGGATGTTGGAGATTCCTCCCTGTTCAACACACAGTCAACCAATCCGTTAAACCAGCCTCAATACCGAGTCACGGCCAATGAAACCAGCCATTTCATTGGATCAGATGAGATTAGACAGAACTGTATTGATCCCTTTGGTAGGGTACCTCAGGGAAATATGATTGTGTGATGGGGAGGTTTAACGCTGCAGCATCGTCTTGGTTACCTTCAGTGAGATAATATTATCACCTATGTAATATGACAGTTTGCTTTGCTTTATTTTTTAAAATCAATGCTCAACACGGCTGCGACTGTTTCATCCACAGGTTAGAGGCGAAGTCAGTATCTTTTATTTTCTTGGTTTGTCTGATCAACATTCCAAAATTCAAAATGGAAAAAGCAAATGCCTGCACTAAAAACAAGAACAACTGGAGAACATTTGTCATTTTTGATGGACAAAGCACTTAAATGACCAGCTGTTGACTATATTATCATGACTACATGCAGTAACAGAGTGATGCTATCTAACGCAATCAAAGAGGCAAAGAAGAGACAAAACAACCTTGCGGACGTTGATGCCGGCCATCTTGTCTCCCTGTGCGTGTCTGTTGCGGAGCTCCGTCACGGTGGAGATGGGGTTCAGACCGGCGTTCTCGGCCAGCGTTGAGGGGATGACCTCCAGGGCGTCGCCGTACGCCCGCACGCAGTAGGCCTCCATACCGCCCAGGGTGCGAGAATACTCTGCCAGACGCACGGCCAGCTCGATCTCTGGAGCACCGCCGCCAGCTATCAGAGCTCTGAGGGACAGAGGGGACATT